GGGGGGGGGGGGGGGGGGATAGGTCGCTCAACAAGATCAAGACTCGAACATTTGTACCATGGCATGGTGGTACGGGGATTACGTTGGCAGACGAACAACCCACAAACTTATTCAAGGCAATAGCACCACCGCCACCGCAGCGCCACCAGCGTCAACGACGGCGACGACAATAACAACATGAATAAAAAACAAAACAATCACCACACCTGAAACGATCTCTGATCCATCCTCGACCACCGCACCAGCCGAACCGCGAGGAACGAAAGTAAACTCCTTGTCTTCCCCTTCGTCTCCGTCTTGGCCTCCGCCCCCCGAATAAGGCTAGCGGCGAAACAAGACAGACGAAATCCGATTACAGGTCAGAACAGCGTGGTACCAGCTGTCGAAGGCCCCGATTGGTCAGAAACATGACAGTCCAACATGCACGAAATCAGTGCGAATATACAGGGTATAACCCCCCTTATAAAGCGAGAGGTGTCTGTGTAAGCCCATGGAGACGCACATTTCCTTCACCTCCGGAGAAAGCGTGCTATGCTGACAAGTGGGTTAACGGGGCAAGCAAGTTGTGCGATTGAGGTATGTTTGACAAGGTGGCCGAAAACGACGCGCACGGAACACACGCAAACGCAATAACATCCGCGCCTCGAATCGGGGAGAGCCTCCAAAGCAGACCAACAACAGCATGCCGCAATCAACACCCCGACAACGACCGGCTGCACCACCAGACAAAAAACCGGAAAAAAACGCCGTCGCTCAATCCTTGACCACCAAAACTACAACCAATTCTCCCCACCTCCCACAGCACACATGGAACCGATGGCCCAGGGTGAAACGTGCAGGTATGGTAGCCCCCCCCCCCCCCCCCGGAAAAAAAATGGCATCGCTACATAACGATAACACCACCGATAGAGCGCACCTCTCCACCGCCGGCACTCCCCATCGATGCATCAGAATCTTCGTCGTCATCATCCGAAGACCCTCCGAGCGCGTCTCGCAGGAGGAGCTTCCGAGCGCTGCGGGCAGCGGCCTTCTTGTCTTCCTTTGCCGTTGCCGCCCCGCCCTTCTTGGCCCTGCCACCACCCCCGCCTCCTTCTTCCTTCTCACCGTCGTCGTCGGAGGCCGAGTCGTCGTCGTCGCTTGATGACGCCAGGTACGCCTGGCCAAACCAAACACGTCCCGGGATGATAATAGGGTCTCCATGAGGGAGGATTGATCATGGAGCTTTGATTGGGGCGGCTCGGAGATGTATTCTTGTCTGACGATGCTTTGACCAAGCCGAAAGGGTACTCCGGGCTAGGTCTGCTGGGCCCTCGAGACTTTAGAGACAATGGTGTTCATTACAAGTCGCCGCCGAAACGTTGGTGCGGGGCCCTCTGCTATCGAGATACAGTAAATGCCCCTGTCCGCAACTATCACTCCCGCGGGATGAAGCCGTCGACTTTCGTCAAAAAAGGAGTAGGAGGGTGGGGGTATTGTTGTCCTACTGGCGGGATGAGGTGGTGCAGAATTGTGGTTGGCAGAAATAACACAAGGCAGCACTATTGGCTGCGTATTTTCGAGAAGAGTTGTCCTGTCACAGATACCACGGAACGTGATGGGTGGTATGGTATGGTATGGTATGGTACCCGAAGCAACTGCCCCAGCTTCCTCGCAGGAGTACACGGCAAACAACGACTACTGGCGACAACAATAATAACAGCTGCAGCAGCAGCTGCAACAACAACAGCAGCGGCCAAAGCGGCCACCAGGGAGAGCACCGACGTCGAGTTCTCTCACCTCGAAGTCCTCCTCCGCCGCGTCCCTCCACTGAGAGACCCTCCCCAACAGCACCTGCCTCTCGGAAGGTGCCTCGTCCCAGGTGCACTCCACCCTCGTCTGCTGAAGGGCCTGCGATGGTGAACGAATGGGCATGGTTTTTTCTTCATCGGCCACGAGCAACTTCAACCGGAATCCCTCCAAAGGAAGGTTCGAATTTTGTAAGTACTAAAAGAATGAAATCGGTAATGCTGCCGCATGCTGCAGGACATAGCGTAGCACAGCGTAGCATAGCTACAGGTAGGCATAGCGAAACATAACGTAGCATACCGCAGGTGAGAGTAGAGAGCACAGCAGGGCAGTGGCAACGCGACATGTTCTCTCTCGCGGACTCGTGTGGTATGGTGTGGTATGGTATAGCATGATGGTAGCATGGTGTTAAATAGTATGGTATGGTGTGGTGTGGTGTGTTGGTGTGCTTACCTTGCAAATGAAGGAAGGCGGCTGGTACGACGAGGGCACGGAGGAACTCTTGTCCCGGACCTGCCTGCCCTCGAACGAGACCTCGTCCGGGATGAACCGCAGGTCTAACGCCACCGAGGAGTGCTCGAACTCCATCCCGTCGACCTCCCTGGTTTGTGGCACGGTTGGTCCCGACAAAAAAGAGTCAGCTAGCAACAAGAGAGACAGCTTCGACGCTAGCGAAAACGATGTTTCGTTGGCTTCACCGTGCAGCGGTGCGAAAATGATGTGATGTTGCCGTTGCCATTTAGTGCTACTCTTCAGGCCACCGATCTTCTCCTCGGTTATTTGTGGATCGTCTCGCACTCATGCGCGACAAAACAGACGCCGGGAACGCGCCGGTTCCCTCTCCCTGGCGACATGTCCAATTCGCTACAAGGGGAGGGGGGGGACGTGTTGAGACCGCTGTGGTTCCACGTATTAATAGTCGGACCGTCGTTCGACTCCACTTTGCCAATACGCACGTCACACAGCTTTCGTTTTTCGTAAAGTTCTTCCGCTCGTTTCCCCGACAAACATAAAAATACGCGGGCGGCACAAACACCGGGCAAGGCTCATAACCTGTAGATGGCTTCCGCGGCGGCCACGGAGCTGCACTCCAGCACCGCGAAGTAGTACTTGAGTTTCCGCAGCTCATAAACCCTCAGCGTCTCCGGATCGAAGCCCTTCGAGTCATTCCCGCGACGTCCCACGTCTCCTTCGCCCGCCGCAGAAGGAAGCCCTTTCTTAGTCGCTCCGGAACCGTCGAGATTTTCTTCCCCATTGTCGTCGCCGTTGTCTTCCTCATCCCCCCCGGTGGTGCGGTACTCTTCGATGATGACGCCGGGGCGGCGGCGGCTCACCACCCTGCCGTCCACCGCGGTCCCTGCAGGGGTGGAAACGCCGCCCGCCGCTCCTTCCCCGCTACCGCCGTCGCCGTCGCCGCCGGAAGCCGCATCGTCGTCGTCGTCGTCTTCGTCTTCGTCTTCGTCGCTGTCGGAGTGGCCACCGCTTTGTGCGGCTGGTATGCTGGAAGGGGTTTCGTTGCAAGGTGGCGTGTGTGGGGGGAGGGAGGTTAACAAAATGGTGGTACAACATCTATCCAAAAATTTTTCTCCGGTTCGCGTGGTTCTTGGGACGTTTTCGAAGGATCATATCGCGGGTGTGTCCCGTTTCTCAAAAAGGAACGAAAATACATGCACCGTTTCCACGTTAAGGAACCCTACCGAAGGAAAGCCTCACTTGCTCCCCACGTACGATACAGACAGTGATAGACGCACGTGCTACCAAAAACAACCCCAACATAGGCGACAACATAATGCAAACACGCCCCAACTCAAACGCGCGAATGCAAGGAGATCAGGGCGCTCGGATGGTTTGTATGAGCGTGAAGGCTGTTCGGGGCATGTGATTGAGGAAGTCCGCCCGCCGCTCGCAGATTTCGGCTGGGGAGGAAGAGGAGCGGCAGACGAGATCACCGCAAAGTTCTGCGTGACACAGAATCGAGGACTACGAGGAGGAGCTGATTGAGCGGGAGCCGGACAGCTGTAGCTTGTGCACCATGCCATGGTGGACATCGGTAGGTGCCGCGGCCTGCTACACTCCTCTCCAGGAAGACAAGAAACGACACGTCTTCGTTGCACTCCCTGGCACACCACAAGACCAACGGATAACAAGAACATCACAACATGAAGGAATAGCAAGGACACCCCCAAGACCAAGGAATGGCAAGAATCAACTACCTGTATAACAACATTGCCAACACCATGAACCATGCCCAACCACCGCAAAAACGAAAAAACCATCATCACCATGAACCAGTTCAACAAGAACGACAACACCGCCATCACCATCAACCACTTCCTGCCACCATAATAGCAGCCCCCAAGTTCCCAAGCACCGCGCCAACGTCCTCGCCCCCCCCCCCCCCCCAAGAAAAAGCCCCCACCCACCTGCCGGAGAGAGCCGCGTGAGGACCCGCGGCCGCCTCCACTTTCATCATCTCAAGCCCGAAGTCCGACGGGTACACCTCCACCGAGAGCAGCCGGGCACTGCCGGGGCAGAAGGACCCGCACAGCACCATCAGGTCCCTTGCCCTCATGTGGTCCCAGTCGCAGTTGGTGACCGCGAGCCGCCTGGAAGTGTCCTCCGACACGGGAATGGCCTCTCTGGAGGGGTCGTCCAGTCCCGCCCTGCCAACGCCTGCCGTGGGGAGGGGGTAAGATAGGGGCGTGGGGTCGTTCAGCGCGAGACCGGGCGAGGAGTTGTACGAGAGAAGGGCAGTGGAGCGGGAATAGGTTTGGTCTGGTTTCAAACGCGTTCTTCTTCGGAACGACGAACTGGGGCGGTGCGATCACAACGAGGCGCATTGGGTGGTAACCCGGTGGGCAAAAAAGAGGACCAAGCTCCGTCGAACCAATGCCCGGCATAATCATAAGCAGCTCAAGAGCAATATAGTCTGTCAGAGGAAAAATTGTGTTACGGGAGGAAAGAGCGCGGTTGTGTGTCTGGAAATTGTAGTATCTGCGGGGGGTCGATGCAGTCGGCAAGGGTTTCATCTTGCGCGGGAGGGCTTGAAATACATCTGTACAGGAAGAAACAGGCGGGAGATGTACGACTTAAATCCGCCAAGTGTGCCTGGTATGGGTCAAACACACGGGCCACGAGGGAGCAAGCACCAGGGAAGGGCTGTGCACTCACGCCCACGTGCCCTCTGCAGCCACACGCACCAGACTCAGACCCGCCTTCGTCATCCTCATCGCTGTCATCGTCGTCATCGTCCGACGTATCCGAAGATGACCCCGATATCTCCCCGCGGGAGAGTCGAGTGAGGTAGGACTGTCGAGATTCTTCCACAGTGGCCATTCCTCCTTCCCCGGTCTCTTCCTCCTCTTCCTCTTCCTCCTCCTCCTCTTCCTCCTCCTCCCCCTCCTTCTCTTCCTCCGCTTCCTCTTCCTCTTCCTCCTCGTCCTCATCGTCTACACCTGACCCCTCATCGGTTTCGTCGTCAACCTGTCCGTCTTCTTCCACTTTGTAGAATGCGCGGAGCTGGCTCTTGGCCTTCTTGGATGCCTTGTCCACCTGACGCCCGTACTTGTCGACTTTGGCTGAAAAAAAAAGAGTACAACAACGGTGTGAGGGGCCAAGTCAGGTAAGTACTAGACGAGGATGATTGTTGGCCCAGGGTAGCGTCAAAACTTGAGCGGTAGGACGACAACAACACAGAGCAACAGCTACCTCCCACGACATTCCCCAGCATATGCGATCAAACTGTCCTTGGACCACTAAACGGTACGGAGTTCGCTCGATAGGTTCAACAGAGACACGAATATTTTCTTTTGATGACTCTGCACCACCCACACACCGCCGTTCGCAGCCCCCATGATGACTACAAGCCCCAGTGTCTGCTTCTCTCGCGCAACCCCGACTGCCTGAAGCGGCCACAGAGCAATGACACTGCTCCGAAGCCTCCGGCTCTAAAAGAAACATCCGCGTTCCCACCCTGAGCGGGCACACTTCCCCAACTCCCGGCTCCAAAATTCGGCGGTACAGGGGGAACAACAGAACCTGCGACTCTGTGTGGGAAATTGGGAGGCTAGTAGGTTCACTCTGCGACGCATCCCTTTCCTGGAGTACGCATAGCACTCACAAGCAGAAACCTGAAACCGCGGGTCGGTGAGCACCGCCTTGAACCTGTCGTCCAGCTGCACCTTACGCTCGTCGGGCTTAACTCTTTGGAAGGCCTGGGGATTTGAAGTGTTTGTTGGGTGGAACGGTACAAGCGGTGTAAAAAAACCGTGATATCTAGTTGTGCTAATATATGACCCAGCAGAAGGTAAAAATGGCGTGGAAATATATGTCTGGAGAAGCAACGTATGTAGTGTCACAGAAACGCTTGGGTCAGTTCGACATTGATTATGCTCAGAGGGTATTTGTTGACGTCTTCACAAGCGTGAGGCTAGGAGTAAAGACGGCAGGGCAAGAACAACGATGCAGAACCCGACCATCACGCTTCCTATACACACCCGAGAGATTGAGGTATCACAAACCATGGCTTGTCATGCTACGAGGCTCAGCCTATATCACTGCGGCAACCTTTCGACATGTGTAGCCAAGAACACTAGGCAACCACGGCCGGTGGAGGAGGTACGAAACAACTTGCGACTGTGCTTCTACCGAATGATCATGTGGAGCTCGACTAACCTCGAGTAAAGGGCATCAACCAGTGGCTGCGCTTCGGGGTTGCGCGCCGTGGGCAACTGTACGACACATCGACTAGAAAACGTAGCAGACAAAAGCTACACTGAGTACCGAGAGCCAGCCACACGGGCTGGACTACTGGACATTCAGCGCGGCAGGTAATCCACCGCCACATGTCACCGGAACCCGAACGCTCCGCCGGACACGAAACGTGGCTGTTGCATGTGACGTGACAACCTATCGTAGCCCACACTCACCGGTGCGCTGTGCATGGAGGAGAACCTCGAGTCTGACACCACAGGAAAGGACTGCCCACCGTCGACAGCACCTGGGCCGCCACCATTGTCACCCTTGTTGTTGCCGCGCCCGCCATTAGTTCCGCCGCCAGCTCCATCCCGGGCCTTCTTGCCTCCCCTTCTGCCCTGCGGCTTCATGTCACCGCCGCCCACTATGATCGAGCCGTCTGTCTCCGCCGTCCTATGCAAATGCTGTATGCTACCCAGCGCACAGAGGTATACAGGTTGCACTGGACCACTGCTGTCCACGCCTCGCCTGGCTGAAAGCTAACAGTCCCGCCAGCGATCAGCAGCGAGCTGCTGCTTGTGTCGGACGTTGTTGTAGTTCTTTCTCTACGCGAATTTCCGCCCGTCTGTATCAGGGTGCTGATCAACCACGCCAATCCTTGACTGCCGGCCTTCTTTCGTGTAGCAGGCCCACCCAGCTGCCGTGAGAGAGGTGTGTGGACATGATGTGGGCCTTGACCGGCGGAAAAAAAAAACGGAGGGTAGCTGTCCCCATAACGCCTTCTAGCCAGACTGAAACCTTTGCGCTGGATTCTGTTTGGAGCCGCTAGTCAGTAGCATCTCGTGTCTCTCTCAACACTCACCCTCCTTAGTGCAGAGGGTCAGATCGGTCCAAGCCGTCCACTACGACAACTCGCGCAGCACTCTAGCATCGACCATGTTCAAGCCAGGCGGATTGTTCGGGCCGAAGCCGGGAAAGGCCGCTCTGGATCAGGCAATGGGCGGCTCAGCTTCCGCAGGTGGCGGCGGCAGCGGCGGCAGTAGTAGCAGCAACAGGGACGACAACAAGAAGGGGGGGGACGACAAGAGCTACGGCGGGTCGGGGTTCGATCCCAGGGGCCTAGAACGAGCGGCCAAGGCTGCCAAGGTGTGTGCTGTTGAGAGCGGGTGGCGGCGATGCGATGCGTGTGTGTCTGTGTGCTGTTTTTGCACGGCGGAGCTGTCCGTTTTTTTCGTTTTCTGAAGAGGTTTGGATGTGTGATGTGCGGCTACAACGTACCACAGCAGCGATGCGGCGTTGCTACTACGGAGAGGAGCCGAGAGTGTGCTTCCCAAGCTTGCATGTCTGACTCTGGGGGCACGGCTCGACGTTAGCAGCCAACAGAAATGTCTTGCAGTACATAAGCAGTTCGGCTTCGTTCGCCCTCCTGCACTCCATGCGCCGACAGCAGCACACGCTGCCTGCCACTCTCGGTGCGTCGTTTTGGTGCACAGCTTCGTCTGTCGTTGCCTTACGAGCGATCCTGCTCAATGCCATCTCTCTTCGCGACGCCTCGAGAGAATATTTTAGTGAAGAAGCAGCCTACCAGGCTCCGAAACTGCTGGGCGGCAGGCTGAACAACTTAAAGTGTCCATTGCATGCTACGGCCGGTGTGCCTTCGCACCTACAAGTATATGGGGGTGAAAAAACGGGCACACACGGGCTTACGATAAGAGGCCGTGGCAGACAGACCTTAGGGAGGGTCTTCGCACTGCTGCTGTTGGTGCCGTGTCGTTGCCGTAGGCGCAGGGCAATAGGTGTGGCCTCCGCTATTCTGCCAGACAGTGGACGTCAAGCAGTAGATATCTGTTATGTAGCGTTGGTCGTTGAATACGGCCTGGAGTATCGGAACCACAGAGAGCTCTTAGATGTGCAGTCGTGGAGTCACGGTTGGGAGGGCTACCCCTTGGTCCGTCGCACGCTGGGTGAAGCGTGCCGCATTTGAACCCCGGGTGTTGCTGAATCCGATCTGGTGCCGTCCGAATGGCTCTATCTGGAACCCGTTCGCTTTCTATCCCAACCCCTACCCCCCCCCTAAAGTCGTACTGTCATACGGTATCCAATCTCCGAAACTTGTGAAGGTGCAGACAACAACTTATATGCACACCGTAGGTGACACAATACCACACCCCCTGGACCGATTTTCATAGCTCGATTACTCCGCAGTAGAAAGAGTAGGGCGGTGCTGATAAATGGCGGTGGTAGAACCGTCTCGTCGAGAACTTTTCGAAAACGTGTCGTTTGATTTTGGCATCCCCTTTCGTTGTGAAAGTAGTCGAGCTTTGAAAATCGGTCCAAAGGGTGTGATTGACATATTCCGTCACCTGCAGCACCCTTTGATCCGTCGCACGCGTCAACTGCCTGGGTGAAGCATTGCCACGTCTGATCCCCGGAAGTATTGCTGAATCCGACGTGCTGCCGTCCGGAGAGCTCTTCTGGAGTCCGTTCCCTTTATATCCCAACCGCCGGCCCCCCTTAGACGTGTCGATCCTGAAACTTGTCAAGACGACTATTATATTATATGCAAGCAGGCCCTTGTCTCCCCGAGCAACACTTGCGGGCAACTCCAAATCGTTACAATTTGAACCCCAAACAACCGTCCGAACAGGTTCTTAATGAGTCGCCCAATGCGTCCATGGCGCTGGACCTGATCAAGCAGCAGGAGATGACCAAGGCCGCGGAGCACCGCAAGCAGGAGGCTGAGTACGCCGCATACGTCAAGCAGATGGAGGTGTGTGCACGTTTGTGCACTGCTGCTGCTGCTGCTCATCAGAATTTTGTTGGGAAGCCATGAGCAGGATCTATTTGTCTCTTCAGAAGCTGGCGTCGGTCGACCTTCCCGTGAGAACTGAAAGTTTCATCTCATGCCTCCATGAGGGAACGACTTTGAAACTCTAAAACTATCATACCTACAGCAATGAGTTTCGTCTGAGCTTTAGCACGGGAAGAGTTGGGGATGATAACCTTACGAGCGAGGATGATGAGAAGGAGGTTTGGACGGGAAGGGCGAGCGGCGTCTGCCCGAGATCCTTTCGAAGTGGAGCAATCGAACGACCGCCGAAAGCCGGCAACAAGTGCATTCATTGATTGCCAGAAGGAAGTTCGGCGAATCAAGCGTAACTACCTTGGAGCCGTGTACGATTGTAGCCCCCCGCCTCTTCCGTGCCGAAATCGGGGAACTTGGAGGTCCCAGTAACCGCCTCCCTTTCTCATGATTCTGAAGTATTTGCCATGTTCTTCCCCTCCTGTGTGTTTTGCGGGGAGCAGCTGCAACGCGTGGAGGAAGAGGCCGAGGCGGCGCGCAAGACTCTGGGGCTGCAGACGGAGGAGGACAAGAAACGGGCGCAGTTCGCGGACGAGCTCGAGAGGAAACGACACGTAGATCAGGTGCACAATCAAAACCCAATCGCATCTGTACATGAAGTGATCGATCATCTCTGTTTTTTTTTGTAGCGGCAACCCTCCGTGAGGGATTGGGACGGACAAATCGACCCGACAGCAGTAGAGTTAAAAAGAGTCTGCTGGTTTTGCGCGGGTCTAATTTTTCAGGGTACTCGTTGGATTTTTTCCAGTCGTTTTTTCCCGCCCTGGTGCTGCGTTTATGCTTTCTTTCTTCCCCGTAGTATTCGGGATCGAAATATGTTCCTGTTCGCCAGCTGGGGGTTCTGCAAACAGGACAGGGCTGACCTTACCGACCATAAGTTACTGGCACGTAAGATGGTATCATTTAATGTGTACGGTCGCCGACGTGAACTTTTTCCTAGACTTGCATGTCAAAATGACGCGATCAATGTACTTTCGAACAAAAATACATGGATAAACGACGGAAGATGTTTTGCTGTCGCTATTTTGACGCTCCTTCTTTTCTTGCCCTGTCGGGGGGGGCATGCGTACATGCCTGCGACAGGTGCAAGCCGACCGCTACATGCGCGACGAGGAGATGCGTAAGCAGGAGGAGCTGACCCGCAAGCAGGAGGCCGTGAGGCGAAAAACGCTCGAGTATGAGGCGGAGCTGAGGCAGCAGACGGAGCTTGCCCGCGTCAAGGCCGAGACGGAGGGGAAGATTAGGCAGGAGAGGGAGAACCACGACCTTAGACTGGAGGAAGCTAGGGAGGGAGCGAAGGAGTACCGAGACACGGTGCTGGAGGGTGAGTCTGTGTGGGCCTCGTGCAGCTTGTTTATTTTGCACATGTGTTTTTTCTCGGGAAACTTGTGTAGACATGGCCTATGTGGTGTTTGAGGATGATCTTTTGTGTTGATGCTTGGTGCTGCTGGAGTCGCTGTGGAAGCATCACGTGCGTAGTAGCGCGACACAAAGAGACATCGTATGAGAATGAGACAGGCAGATAGGGAGAGTGTGTTGGCCCTTGTGCTTCAATATAATGAGCTTCTGGGGAATCATCTACAGCAGTACCTGGAGTTAGAGTGGGATCCAAAACGTAGACGCTGCTTACGGCCTACTTCTACATTAGGCATCTTGCACTATAGTGTGTCTTTTCCTCAGGCGTTCTTCCTTCCCTCCTCACACCTACAGCAGTAGTGACTATACGGGACCCACCATGCCGAGTAGGAAAACCCTGCTGCGTCTGCGCCGGTGCCCGCGCCGGTGCCGGCGCTGGCTTCGGTCCCAGTAGCGTGTGTGCCTGGGCACACGCTCGGACGGCACAATCGCAACCCCCTCGCATCCCCGATACGAGCTCACCCCTGGAGCAACTAATGAGTTTTTCAGTTCACGAAGGACGAAAAAGGTGCACCCACAGCTGGAACTCGGGATCTCGCTTGGTGCATTTTTTCCTCGATTCGGACGGAAGACACATTTCAGGCCTCACTCCCTAATATCAACGCCACCATCCCCCCCCCCCCCCCCCCCCCCCTTCT